AAGTTCTTTTACATTCTCCACGTGAGATCAGGCAGTATTAGTAGTTCTGCCTAGGCTAGTTCAGTGCATAACAAGCAGCTTCAACCATGTGGCTGCAAATGACAGAATGTCCTTTTTTCAATTTATTTATGTGTATTGAGTGTTTTGCCTGCATATATGTAAGTGCACCTGCATCATGCAATGACTGCAGAGGCCACAAGAGGGCATTGGATGCCTTGGAACTGGAATTACAGGTGCTTGTCAGCCACCATGTGGATATTGGGAATCAAATCAAGATTCCCCACAAAAGCAGCTAGTGCTCTTAACCACTGAGCCATCTCTCCAGCCCCAGAATTCCCTTTTTGTAATGCATGTGTGTATACTCATGTGTATGACTGTACGTGCATATGTGAGCACATAAATGTGAGGGCTTCTTTCTCAGTTACACTCTACCTTAATTTATTGAGGCTGAGTCTCTCAACTGAACCCAGAGTGCATCAATACAAGTTAGTCTAGCTTGTCAGCTTACTCCAGGATCCCTCATCTCTACCTTCTGAGCACTGGAATTATAGGCAGGCCACCACACCTACCCAGTGAGTACAGGAATCCAAGCTCCAGAGTGCATGCTTAATGGCAAGCATTTTGTCCACTGAGTCATTAGCCCATCGCCAGAATTCCCACTTTTTTACATTGATAGTCCATTGCACATATACATCACACGTCTTTATTCATCTATTGACATTGTGGTGGTTTGAATAGAAACGTTCCCCATGGGCTCAAGTATTTGAATACAGTGGTACTTTTTGGGGTAGTCATAGAACCTTTGGGAGGTGTAACCTTGCTGGAGAAAGCATGTCACTGGGGGTGGACTCTGAGAGTGCATAGCCTCTCCCTACTTCCAGTTCACTCTCTCTACATGGTCTTTACTGTTGAAGACATGAGCTCTTGGCTTCCTTTTGTTTCCGAGCCTACCCCCACATACACACCATGATGAACTCATCCCTCTGGAACCATAAGTTCAAATAAACTCTTCCTTCTTTAAGTTGTCCTGGACAAAGTATTTTATCACAGCAAAAGTAATACATTTGGGGTGCTACTGTATGTTTTGGTCACTTGAAATTATGATGCAATCAGTGAACATGGGGTGTAGACATTAGCATTCCAGTTCATTAAACAGATCTATCACACTGAGTGGATAAAGGACCAAATTTAACTCCAATTAATGGCTGTGTTCCAGGGACACATAACTTTCCTCTATTTCTACCTCCTGCTTCCAAAAATAGCATAATTTTCTTAGCAATGGAACAATGAGAAGTCATCCTGAGAATTAATCAGCGATTTAAAATAATTAACCCACCACCACTAGGATCAGTTTTTGAGTTAAGAACAGAAGCTGACAATTCAGGACATGAGCACAGTTCCATGAAGGCATGTCCACACCACCTCATGCCCTCATGGGAACGTGAGTCTAGAGCCCCCCTGTGATATCACCCCGCATAGCTGCATTTGCATTGACCCCTCATGCTCAATCCCTAGTCCACTGGAAACTGGGTCTTCTCCCCACCATCACACCCTCTGAAGCCGCTATCACAGACACTAATTAGCTTCCGGTGACTTGAAGCATGCTTGCTTTTCTCACTCTCACCTCCCTCGTCAGTGATGTTTGACACTGTCCACTTCCTCCTTGATGTCACTTCTCAGCTGTCTCAGACCATCTAGCACCTTTTCTAATGGTAGTGACACTATAAGGTTTGCAGACTTCTCTAACATCAGTTCCTTTTTAATGTTTTTCCATGTGTGTGCAGATGCCTATGGAGGACAGAAGAGGGTGTGTGATCCCCTAAAGCTGGAGTTACAGGTGGTTCTGAGCCACCTGATATAGGTGCTAGGACCTGAACAGTGGTCCTCTGCAAGAGCACCAGGTGTTCTTAATCACTGAGCTATCCCTCCAGCCCCTTACTGTAGTATTTTAGAATTTCATACATGAGTACTGTATTTACATCATTTCTGCTCTTCCCTTTCCCCTTACAACTCTTCCCCAATTGACTCCCTCTCAATTGCCTGTCCTTTTATTGTTACATATACACATAAAATAAAAATTTAAATATTATGTTATGTCTGCATGTGTATAAGTGCACCCATGTCGTGCAGTACCCATGGAGGACAGAAGACGCCCTCAGATCCCCTGGAACTGGAGTTATAGACAGTTGTTAGCTGCCATGTGGGTGCTGGGATTCTAACCCAGGTCTTTTACAAGAACAGCAAGTGCTCTTAACCACTGACCCATCTCTCTAGTCCCTACATATTTATATATACATATATAATGAGTTCATCTACTGGTGCTTGTGTGACATGTTTAGAGTTGACCACCACTTGGGATTAGATAACCTGTCAGAGAGTTTGTTCCTAAAGAAAACTGTTTTCCATCTCTCAGCACCCATTGGCACTTCGATACATGCATATATTTACTCTGGTCATAATCACACACCCCATTATTCATACCCCCATCCCCTTTCCCTCTCCACACCCTTGATAGTCCCCCCATATTTCCATGTCTTTATCCCCACCCTAGATTCCACATACGGAAGAAAACACGTGGTGCTCCTCTCTATGAAACTTATTTCAGTTAACATGGTGCACTCCATTTCCATGTATTTTCCTAAAAGCAACATAACTGCATTCTTTATGGTTGAATGTGTATATAAACCACATGTCCTGTATCTATTCAAGCACAGATGGGCACCTAGGCTGATTACAAAACTTGGCTATTGTAAATACTTCTGAGATAAACATGGGTGTTCAGGTATCTCTAAGTGTGACGGTTAATTTCTCATCTTCATTGGATTAATAAATATGTGGAGAAAGCTGAGAAGCTCAGAGAGTATAAGCACTTGCTACTAGGTCTGATGACCTGAGTTTTATCCCAGGGTCCCATATGGTGGAAAGAGCTGACTCCCAAAAGTTGCCTTCTGAGCATCACATGTGCACTATGACATGTATGCACATGCATGCATGCATGCACACACACACACACAATACATGCATAATGTTGAAATAGCTAGGGCATTAATGAGACAAATTTCTGTGTCTGTGTGAGCTCTTTCACAGAATATTAAGCAGGACAAGATTCACCCTGAATGCAGGCAGTACCATCCTGTGGGCTGGAGTCCCAGGAGGAATTAAAAGGGAGAGGGGAGAAAGTGAGCCGAGTGTCTACATCCCCCTTTGTTTCGTGTTCACAGATATAAACATCTGTTGGCACAGAGCCACCTGCTGACCTGCACTCCCCTCCATGACACACTGCATACCCTCAAACCACAACCAGGTGAGATGGCAGGCTACAGGCTGCCTCTGTGACACCAGTGAAGGAGAGAGGCAAAATAAGGAAAAGGAGACGTTAGCCACAAGACGGAATTAGAGAAACAACTTTGAAAATCCACAAAATGAAAGGCTATTGGAAAAGATCAGACAGAAGGTGCAGAGTACTGCAGAGAAGTGAGCCAAATGCAGCAGACAGCTCCCTGGAGAGGAGGGGACTCAGCAGCGACTTCCAAAGGGAGCACAGGAGAGCTGACCACCTACTGTCAGGAAAAGTCCAGAGCCTTTACAAGCCTCAACCCAGGTACAGAGTTTTGGTGGGACAGTGACTCCTCCAGCAGATGGTTCAGGGGTGAAGACTCCCATTTTGTCATTCTACATGATGAGAACAACGGCTGCTAGGCACCATCTATTGATGGAAACAGGCTTCTGGGAGAGGCTCAGTCAGTTTTCTTCAGGGACATGGCCCCTGATAGACTGCCCATGTTCCAGTTGAATGCCCCACAGCCTTGGACATACTGGCAAGTGAGTGGATTCAATGGGTTAAAAAAAAATAAAAAGCACAAAAGGAGGCTGGAGAGATGACTCAGGGGTTAAGAGCACTGGCTGCTCTTGCAGAGGGTCCTGGTTCACTGGTTCAGTTCCCAGCACCCACATGGTGACTAACAACCATCCATAACTCCAGTTCCAGGGGATCTGATGCTCTCTTCCGGCCTGTGCAGGCATTGCACACATGGGTGCACTTAAATGTAGGCAAAACATTCATACACATACAAAATTTAAAAGAAAGCACATGAAGTTGGGAGGGAAAAGTGGGGGAAGGGTTATAGGAGGAGTTGGAGAAGGAATCAGGGTGGATTTGATCAAAACATATGTATGAAATTCTCAAAATTTAAGTATCTCTCTCCTCTCTGTACTGGACTTCCTCCCCCATTGCCAATTAAAGTTCCCTGTTTGCATACTTCACACAGATGTTACCCTGTATGCAATTCCTAAAAAAAAATTAATTTAAAATGGTAATTAAAAAATGAATTACTCTGTGAAATCAATAGGTCTTTAGAAACCAAAATTAAAGGATAAATAATGGATATGAAATTGGGGGTGGGGGATGGTGAGGAAGGGTCTGAATGTGAGTGAAAAACATTGCATGAAAGGCACCCATGCACGAGTAGATGGTCCTACACCCATGCACACTAAGTGGACTTAGGCTTTAAAAAAGAAACAGCACATGAGATTGGGAGGGAAAGTGGGCAATGGGGATAGGAGAGAATGGAAGAGAATCACGAGGGTGGATTGATCAAAACATGCAATTCAAGAAACACAGTGACATTAAAAAATAACCTGTAGACTCAGGAAGCCACTATTCAACTATGCTAGAAACTATGCTTGGGAATAAAAATAGAAAATCAAACATGAACTTCCTCACATTCCTTTTTTCTAACCTCACATTCCTTTTTTCTAACCTAAGTTTGTCAAGCATAAGGTTTATTTCCAAGTCAGCTCTTGAATTTGTTAATAAAGGAAATTCAACCAAAGTGATTTAATTTTTATTATGCTTGTGAGAGAACACATAGTGATAACAACTGGATGCATGCCTTGTGCAGAATTTACTGTAAAGCAAAGAAAAAAAATCAGTGTTCATCCTATATCTGACACTCAGTGACCACCATTGACTCTCTGACCTTCATAAGATGTCTTAGAGGTCAAATTCCCCTTCCCCTTAGATAGTCAGTAGTAAGAATGGTTTCTGGGTGCTCAGAGAAGAGGTCACAGTATGAGGGCGCAGTTGTCCTGGTGACATTGTCAATCGTCAGGCTGGGGTTGCTTGCCTTCATATCCTTCAACAGTTTCTTAATGTTCCTGTTTGATTTGTCTATCTTCAACCTGGAACACCACAGAGCCCTTAAGTTGTGTTATCCTAAGAAGTTCATTCCAAACTACCCCCCCTCACAGCAAAAAAAGAATCCATTTCAGGATACCGATAGAAAACATTCGAGTCCAGAAAGCAGGACTTCTTGAGAACACCTAATATAAATTAAACTGGTAAGTTTTCAGGTGCTCAGGAAGCCCCACACTTAGCTGAAGAGCTCTCAGCAACTGATGGCTGCTGGGGAAGGGAGGGCGTCAGATTACCTCAGGGAGGGGACCCCTAATAAGCTGCCAGTGCTGCAGTAGAGGGTCCTGTGCAGGTACTCACAGCACTAACTGGGCTCGGTGAGTTTAAACAATACATGAAGTTGGGAGGAGAGATAGGAGTACTGACACTGGAGGTGAGGGGAAGGAGGGTATTAATTTGATCAACACCATTTATATGCATGTATGAACTATGAAATTCTCAGTAAAAGAAACTGTCCTGTGCTGTTTAAACTTGTTGAAAGTGGGCTCAGAACAAAGTAGCCCTCCCATCTCCTCTACAACCAGCTATGCTGAGTCAGGCCGGCCCTCTGGCTCTATAACCAAGAAAGGGAAAAACAGGGTATTGAAAACATTGCATCCTGAAAACAGATGATAAACAATTTCCAACAGATGTTACTATTGTTTATCCCATGATATAAAAAATGACTGTGGTGGAAACGAAAACGGAAACTCGTCCATGAAGAGAAGGCTCAGTCAGGAACTTCAGCGGGCTGTCAACATCCTCGGTCAGTTTCTGCTTGAATGTTCGTAAGTTCCCCCAACTTGATGTTACCTTTCCCTGCTTTCTCAATCAGGCTGTTCCAGTCATCTCTACTAGCTGTTGCAAGGCCCCAATTTTTAGTGTTTTACTATCTGTGACTGGCTATTTATCCTTTCACTTGATATATACTTAATCCACTCATTCAAAAGCACAGTTATTATAGATCATTTTCTTTGAAATGTACAGAGGAGCATCATACAAAGAAATGACACACAGTGATCATCTTTCAGATATTGCCCATGATTGCTTTTGTTCTATAATGACGGAGTGTTCAAAGCAGCCCAACTTTTACTGTCTTTTGTTAGAAAATATAAAGCCATGCTTCATGGCTCATGTGTGTAATCTCAGCACCTGGGAGGTTGAACCAGGGTGCCTGCTGCAAATTCAAGGTCAGCCTGAGTTAGATACAAAGTGCCACGATAACCAGGGCTACTGTGTGAGATCTCGTCAGGATGGGAAAAGGGAAAGATGGCTGTAAGGCAGGCAGAAAACCCCCACCCCAGTTTTCTGAGATTATATTTAGATATGTGTGACTAAAAAAGTCAAGAATGTTAGAGTTCTTTGCATAAAAATCGGAGAACATGGGGCTAGTTACACCAGCTTTCTTGCAGCATCCACATGGTAACTAGCAACCATCCATAACTCCAGTTCCAGGGGATCCAATGCCCTCT